AACCAAATTCAAAAGTATATCAAAAGGATTATACACCATGACCAAGTGGGATTCATCCCAGGGATGCAAGGATGATACATTTGAAAATCCACCAACATTGACCACATAAACAAGAAGAAGGACAAAAATCACATGATCCATCTCCATAGATGCTGAAAAAGCATTCGACAAAATTCAACATCCATTCATGATAAAAACTCTCAGCAAAATGGGTATACAGGGCAAGTACCTCAACATAATCAAGGCCATCTATGATAAACCCACAGCAAACATCATACTGAACAGCGAGAAGCTGTGAAAGCTTTTCCTCTGAGATTGGTAACAAGACAGGGATGCCCACTCTCCCCACAGTTATTTAACATAGTACTGGAGGTTCTAGCCACAGCAATTAGACAAAATAAAGAAATACAAGGAATCCAGATTGGTAAAGAAGTTAAACTGTCACTATTTGCAGATGACATGATATTGTACATAAAAAACCCTAAAGACTCCACTCCAAAACTACTAGAACTGATATTGGAATACAGCAAAGTTGCAGGATACAAAATTAACACACAGAAATCTGAGGCTTTCCTATATACACTAACAGTGAACTAATAGAGAAATCAGGAAAACAATTCCACTCACAATAGCATCAACAAGAATAAAATGCCTAGGAATAAACTTAACCAAGGAAGTGAAAACTATAAGACACTCTTAAGAGAAATTAAAGAGGACACTAACAAATGGAAACTCATCCCATACTCTTGGCTAGGAAGAATTAATGTTGTCAAAATGGCCATCCTGCCCAAAGCAATATACAGATTTTATACAATCCCTATCAAATTACCAACAACATTCTTCAACGAACTGGAACAAATAGTTCAAAAATTCATATGGAAACACCAAAGACCCCAAATAGCCAAAGCAATCATGAGAAGGAAGAATAAAGTGGGAGGGATCTCGCTCCCCAACTTCAAGCTCTACTACAAAGCCATAGTAATCAAGACAATTTGGTACTGGCACAAGAACAGACCTATAGGCCAATGGAACAGACTAGAGACTCCAGACATTAACCCAAACACATATGGTCAATTAATATATGATAAAGGAGCCATGGACATTCAATGGGGAAATGACAGTCTCTTCAACAGATGGTGCTGGCAAAACTGGACTACATGTAAGAGAATGAAACTGGATCACTATCTAACCCCTTACACAAGAGTAAATTCGAAATGGATCAAAGACCTGAATGTAAGTCATGAAACTATAAAACTCTTAGCAAAAAACATAGGCAAAAATCTCTTGGACATAAACATGAGTGACTTCTTCATGAACATATCTCCCTGGGCAAGGAAAACAAAAGCAAAAATGAACAAGTGGGACTACATCAAGCTGAAAAGCTTCAGTACAGTAAAAGACACCATCAATAGAACAAAAAGGTACCTTACAGTATGGGAGAATATATTCATAAATGACAGATCCAATAAAGGCTTGATATCCAAAATATATAAAGAGCTCACACACCTCAACAAACAAAAAACAAATAATCCAATTAACAAATGGGCAAAGGAGATGAGCAGACAGTTCTCCAAAGAAGAAATTCAGATGGCCAACAGACACATGAAAAGATGCTCCACATCACTAGTTATCAGAGAAATGCAAATTAAAACCACAATGAGGTATCACCTTACAGCAGTAAGGATAGCTGCCAACCAAAAGACAAACAACAGCAAATGTTGGCGAGGCTGTGGAGAAAGGGGAACCCTCCTACACTGCTGGTGTGAAAGTAAATTAGTTCAACCATTGTGGATAGCAGTATGGTGGTTCCTCAAAATGCTCAAAATAGACATACCATTTGACCCAGGAATTCCATTCCTAGGAATTTACCCTAAGAATGCAGGAGCCCAGTTTGAAAAAAAACAGGTACACCCGTATGTTTATTGCAGCACTATTTACAATAGCCAAGAAATGGAAGCAACCTAAGTTTCCATCAGTACATGAATGGATAAAGAAGATGTGGTACATATACACAATGGAATATTATTCAGCCATAAGAAGAAAGCAGATCCTTCCACTTGCAACAACATGGATAGAGCTAGAGGGTATTTTGGTCAGTGAAATAAGCCAGGTGGAGAAAGACAAGTATCAAAGATTTCACTCATCTGTGGAGTATAAGAACAAAGAAAAAACTGAAGGAACAAAACAGCAGCAGACTCACAGAACCCAAGAATGGACTAGCAGGTACCAAAGGGAAAGGGACTGGGGAGGATGGGTGGGAAGGGAGGGATAAGGGGAATTAAGGGGCATTACGATTAGCACACATAATGTGGGGGAGGGGGCATGGGGAAGGCAGTATAACACAGAGAAGACAAGTAGTGATTCTATAGCATCTTACTACGCTGATGGACAGTGACTTTAATTGGGTATGTGGTGGGGACTTGATAAAGGGGGGGCGTCTAGTAACCATAATGTTGCTCATGTAATTGTACATTAATGATACCAAAACAAAAAAAAAGAAGAACGTTTGTGATTGAAGAGTATAAATCCAATGGTTGAAAACATGTCTGGAAAAAACTACTACCTGTAGGCTTAAGTTACTAGCTACACTAGACACTTTTTTAATTGACACTGTTTTTACTTGAAAGAAAGGCTAACAGACCAACTGGTTATTCAGACTTAGGTATTGGCGGACATTTTCTCTGAATGCCTGAAGTGAGTCTGTATTTATTCCAGTAGTGAAATTTTAGTTTTCAAATGAAAATTAGAATTTCAGAAAACCTGTATCCACCACTTAGTGCTCAACATTTGCAATAGGTTTATAATAGGAGACAACTTGGTTGGGGGGACGGGAGGAAGAGCAACAGAAAAGTGGATAAATTATGTATTTATATAGTGAAATAATATAACAGGAAAAGTGAATGAAATACAGCTCCATACAAAAACATGGCTGAATCTTAGAAACCCAATGGAGGGAGGGACAGTTCTCAGATGGCTAAACACAGTATGATACAGTATTTAGGGATATACATATGTGTGATTAATAAAAACAAAAAAAGGGTAATGACTATTCAGGGTAGCAGTTTTGTTCTAATCAGAGTTGGACCTTGTGATGGGGGAGCCTGAGATAGGGAAAGAACACACAACTAGATTCAGGCATATTGATAATATTCTAGTTCTTGGATTTAGTGGTGGGTTACAGAAGTTCATTGTATTATTTTGCTTGGTAACATTATGTTTTATCTTTATGTATCAAATATTACAGAATAAATTTAAATTTTTTAATTTAAAAAATGGTAGGCACATGGGTCATTTAAAAGATACATGGTATTCCACTTAATTGGATATACAATAATGTATTTCACCTGCTATGTTAAATATATTTGAATTTATTGGGCAAGTCATATACTGTCTTCTCTGTCATTATAGAGGCGATTTTTGCTTGTATATGTCAGTGCCTAGCATTGATCCAAGTAGTACTTCATGTGTATTAAATGATTTAATCCTTTTAACAACTCTGTGAAGTAGGAACTATTATGTCCCAGTTTAAAGATGAGATTCTGAGGCACAGATTAAAGCAACTTGTTGAAGTTTGCATAGCTAACAAGTGGAAGAGTCAGAATTTGAACCCATGCAATCTGGCTCCAGGGCCTATACATTTAACTACTTGTCCTTATGTCAGTTGCTATACTAGCACTTACCTAACAAGCTTATTATGATTAAAGGAGACTGTTGGTGTGGGGGTGGTTCTAAAGATGTCAGGTGCAGTTATTGACATTATCAGGCCTCCTTGAGAAGCTGTGATCCCCCTGAGTAGGGTAGGGTGGGTAAGGGCCGAATCCCGGTGAAAGGTAATGATGTCCTCTTGAGAGCCTTTGCCAGTGTGTATCTTCCCTTCTTCTAGAGACCATGGCGAGCCCGGGGAAAGACAATTACCGAATGAAGAGCTATAAGAACAATGCCCTAAACCCTGAGGAAATGAGGCGAAGAAGAGAGGAAGAGGGTATTCAGCTCCGGAAGCAGAAGCGGGAGCAACAAGTGGGTTATCCCAAGTATTCTCCTAGTATTCAGGGAAATGATCCCACTGCCATGGTTGACCTCCTTGCACTGTCACTTTCCCCTTAGGAAAATAGCTTACTTTTGTGGGCCACTCACCCAGCTTGCTTTGTTGTAAAGAAATATTGGAAGCTCTGAGAAAGAGAGAACCTCTTAACCTCTGAGAAAGAATCTCTTATTCTTTTTCCATTATTTAAAACAACTTAGACATCATTTAGTTTTCATCCTCTTTTGCTTTCTCTCTCCTTCACCTTATAATCAGTGTTAGGTCTGACCTTCAAAGCCCAGCCATAAGCCTGGCCCTTTAAGAGGTTCATCAGCCATTCTGGGCTGCCTTACTTCTATTTCTGGAGTCCAGTCTTTGCAAGTCTCCCTAGAACCGAGATTAATGCCTCATCACCTTTGCTCCACCACATACCACCACCAAATTGGTGCCTTGCCCAGGTCTGATACAATCACCTAACCTGCTCTTCCCATCCTCTTGCTTACCTTTATTCCCTTCCTTCAAAGCCTTTTATACAAAGGCTTTTTTGCAAAAGCACATCACCTTTTATGCAAAGGCACAGAAACCGTTAAAAGATTTTTTTGCTTATAAAAATATTATCTTAAAAATGCAAACAATTAGATACAACATAGAAAGTAAAGCCCTTAAATATCTTTCCATGTCAGTATACTAAGCTTGGCATTTTCTCTGTACACTAGCATTTCCTTGACAGTTGCACCATAATTTAACATTGGGATCATTCTTTATTTGTGTGAGCAGTCTTACCACCATCTCTTCTCTTCTCTTTCAGCTTTTTAAACGGAGAAATGTGGAGCTGATTAATGAAGAAGCCGCCATGTTTGATAGTCTCCTCATGGACTCCTATGTGAGCTCTACCACTGGGGTAAGACCCTTGCGTAAGACACTTGCATGTGCTTCAGGCAGGCCTGGAAAGTAGCTGCTTTTACAGAATAGAAAATGGGCAGTTCACATGATCTAGTAGCTTTGTGGACAACCATGCTAAGCTCTTTCTTCCATGGTCCCTTTTATAACTGGTTAACTTAAGTCAACAAGGATTCCTCTCTGATGGAGACACCTGAGAAACAGTCAATAGAAGCCATCAGTTGTCTCAGAGGTTAGGACTCACCTTCAAATGTACTAACTTGAAGTAGCCATGAACCATGGACAAACACTTCCTAAGCCTGCTGTTATGCCATCTTCTTGCCCCTCAAGTCTCTAGAAAAGCAGGATGAGAAGCAGGATTATGCATTCATAACTGGCTCTGGTGTTGGTTTGCAAAGTCTTGAACCTGTTTTATGTTCTAGGAGAGTGTGATCACGAGAGAGATGGTGGAGATGCTTTTTTCTGATGATTCTGACCTCCAGTTAGCAACCACACAGAAATTCCGGAAACTGCTCTCCAAAGGTACAAAGCCTAGTACTACTCCCAAGAGAGGCCCCACGTGATTGTCTCTTGTTTCTTGTATCTGACCTCATCAACTACTCCCCATTGCTCATTCTGCTGTAGCCCCACTGCTTTTAGTGTTCCTTATATAAGTTAGGCACATTCTTACCTTTGTGCTGGCTGTTACCTCTGCCTGCAGGTATCTATGTGATGACCTCTTCACTTCTATAATCAAACCTTACCTTCTCAACAAAACCCAGCCTGACACCCTATCCAAAATCATGGGCCACCTTGACACTAAGCCTTACCTATTCTTACTTTTCCCGTTTTACTTATTACCTTCTAACACAAGAGAATGTCTCTCCTCATGAGGATGTAAGCTCTCCGAAGGCAGAGAATTTTTGTTTTGTTCACTGTTGTATTCTCAGTATCTACATTTTTATCTGGCATATAGTTTGTGCTCAGTAAAAATCTGATGTATGATAGGGAAAATACTTCTTGCTCCAGGATAGTAAGAAGTCCTCCCAAGAGGGTAACGCTGGTTTTAGAAGGGAGATATTTAGACAAGGTTGCTCACCCCTTGGGCTTTCTCTTTCTCTCAGTTTCTTACTTGCTTAGGTAAGTAAGATTACTTACTTGCTTAAGTTGAGGAAGCCAAAAGTAAGCATACTTAAATTAGGATTGACTTTATTTAAAGTTAGCATCCCAACTGTATTATACAATTCCAAGATGACCAGCTATTGTTAAAACCACCTCACCAAAAGGGAGTTTAGGAATGTTAATAAGGGTGGTCAGAAATATCTACAAAGCATGGTGGATAGACTTCAATAAATGCATCAGCCAAACCTGCTTCTGACTTCCTCTCCTTCCATTCTCCCTCTTCCAGAACCTAGTCCTCCAATAGATGAAGTTATCAACACTCCAGGAGTGGTGGATCGTTTCGTGGAGTTTCTGAAGAGGAATGAGAATTGTACATTACAGGTGAGGCCTGGGCTGGAGGGATACCAGGTGAAAATCCCTTTTCCAAGAAATTGCAGTGGGATGATTCTACAGACATATCTCTCAGAGAAATACAAGTAATATGAGGAAACATTTAAGAGATGTTGTCGGTTGCCTTAGAGGTCTTGGCGTCAAAAAAAAGAGCCAGAATCTCTTCCCTGAAACAGTCTGAAAGGAAAGATACCAAAATATGACAGACTGATTATTTAGCTGTAAATCAGAGGTTTTAGTCCACTTCTAATTACCTTTGTCGTGAGGCAAATTCATGTAGACTCTCTGGGTCTCTCCTCTCAAAAATGGGTAATGAGTCAATCCATTAGAATTTACTAGAAACTGAGCTGAAAGGGACTGTGACAGACCTCTATCACTCTTCTGATTTCAGAAGTGAAGATAGTAAAGCTTAGGAAATGAAAGAGTGACTTGCCAAAGGACTCATGGGTGCTGTGGTGGTGCAGGACTAGACCTGGGGCCTCTGAAGCCCAATTCTGCCCTCCCATTGCACTACATCATGGCCAAAAACTCTTCCAATCATTTAAGGGTGGGGAGGAAAAGGCTTGAGTTTTGCTTTTTTTTTCCAGTCTGGGGCAAGAGGCTTACTGCTCTGATCCAGTTGGTAGGCATGCCTGCCCTGTCTAGAATGACGTCTCAGTAATGACTTAATCTCACTTTCAGTTTGAAGCTGCCTGGGCCCTAACGAACATTGCCTCTGGAACCTCTCAGCAGACCAAAATTGTCATTGAAGCAGGGGCCGTCCCCATTTTTATAGAGCTACTTAACTCGGACTTTGAGGATGTACAGGAACAGGTAATGCTCAAATTTGGCTTAATTCTTTATAGTATATGTGGGATATTAAAAAATATATCTGGTTTTTATCCTCAGTTCCTGGCAAAGAGCTCCTAAAAGCCTTGGAATTTTCTTACTTATAATGAGCCCCTTTGGAACACATCCAAGTCTATGCTAATGAGATGACTGGGTTGGGGCCCCTAGATAGCCTCAGAAATGCGGGAAGGAAGGTAGCCAATCAGAAAGACCAAACAGGATTAGAGGGTAGGAACTCTCAGCCCCAGCATCTTCCTCCCACCAACTTTTCCCCAGCCTTCCCAGGAAGGATAGGGAGGCTGGAGGTTGGGTTATAAAAACTCTTGAACAGTGAGATTCAGAGAGCTTCTGGGTTGGTGAACACATCCATGTGCTGGGAAGGTGACATGCCGGAGAGGGCATGGATATGCTGCCCACCCCAGCCCCTCACCTCATACCTTGTCCTGTGCATCTTTTCCACTTAGCTCTAAGCTGGTAAATATAAGTAAAGTATTTTCCTGAGTTCAGTGAATCATTCTAGCAAGTTACTAAACCTTAGGGGATCATGGGAACTCCTAAATTTTTAGCCAATCAGTCAGAAATACAAGTGGCATCTGCAAATTGTTACTGGTGTCTAAAGTGAGGTCAGCCTTGTGGGACTGAGCTCTAAACCTGTGTGGTCTATGCTGACTCCAGAGTTTAGTGTCTGAATTGTATTGAATTATTGGATGTATAGTTGTTGTCAGAGAATTGTTGGTGTAGAAAAAAAAATACATTTGGCATCAGAGGTGGTATTGGAAAAAAAGACATTACAGTACCCTTTTCTCAGTACCTCCAAATCGCAGATATAAAGACACAACTTTCATTTCCCCTGGATGTTACTGGTTGGGTAGAAGTGGAGAATGGTATTGGGATTTTTTTCCCCCCTTTCTAGTCTCAGTAGTCCTATTGGGAATGTGAAACTAAAAGAAAGCACCTTCCCAAATACTTCCTGCTTTTCTGGGGGTTGGCGATAGGGAGGTCTTGGTTTGGCTTCTCTGGCTGCAGTACAACTGTCAGCTTGTCTTTCGCACTGAACCAGAACACTCAGTGTTCAGGAAAGGTCCTTATAGTGTAAGTGCTCAGTAAGAATGTCAGTAAGGAGGGTAGCTGAGCTTGTTCAGTGTGCCTCAGGCCTTGATAATGGTTTTCATCCTTGTTACTGGTGGGTACTCCCTCTGGTATTAAGAATTCAGAGAAGCCACTAGGCTCTGTAGGTAACAGTTCCATCATCCCCTTTTCAGGCAGTCTGGGCACTGGGAAACATAGCTGGAGACAGCTCCGTTTGCCGAGATTACGTCTTGAACTGTTCCATCCTTAATCCTTTGTTAACGTGAGTAATTATGATCATGTGCACCTGGGGCATCTATGTGGCCGACATGGGGCTAATCTTTTACAGTGATAAGTAAATACTGAAACTAAAAGTACATTCTGACTGTCAAAGTAAAAACAGGTATCTTTCGGGAGTAAGAAAATTGTGCCAAGGGAAGTCTTGCGCTTCCTCACTTCATGGCACTATAGAATCTCATGTTGGTTGTACCTGCATCATTTAAAATTAAAAGTATCATTGATATACAATCTTATGTTGGTTTTAAATATACAACACAGTGGTTCACCAGTTACCCGTATTAAACCCTCAACCCTTTTAGTGTACCTGCATCATTTTTGAGCCAGAGAAGAGAGGCAGGACTAGCCCAACTGGAAAAATCAGCCTTCTCTACAGAATACATTGATTTGCTATGGGTTTATGCAGAGGTATAAACCAAAGACCCCCCAGGAAAGGTCATCTGGATCCCCCATCCTTCCTCCCATACCCTTAAAGTAGAGCTACATCTAAACCACAAAAAAATGGATGAGCTGTCCTTCAGAGACCACAATCTCATAGGCTACCACTGTAACTCTTTCCTAGACCCTTCACAGAAAATCATTCCATACTTCATGGCTGAAGTCCTCACCCTAGACATTTAGCTTTCATTTCCAAAGAGAACAGTACTTGTTTAAAAGTTGTGGCCATGGTTAAGGGCAAAGTGTGTCCTATCTTAAAAGTTTTGCAGGGTTACTCAAAATCCAGCCTTCTGTTTGTCCTTATTAACTATGGTCTTAACTAACCACAGTTGGTCCTAGTCCTCAGCTAATGTAGGTCCAAATCCTAGCCCAAACAGACTGTTAACTTGGATCTATAGATAGGAAGAAACAAGCTACTAGAGTCTTAGGGATCTGAGTGGGTTTGCTCCTGGGATTCATAGGCAATAGCCTTATGCTAGAGACAGCATTGCTCAGGATCTGGCTTTACTGTTTCGTTCAGACTCCTTACCAAGTCCACACGACTGACAATGACACGGAATGCAGTCTGGGCCCTGTCAAACCTCTGCCGAGGGAAGAACCCACCCCCAGAGTTTGCAAAGGTGAGAGCTTCTTTCCAGTTCCTGAGTTATAGCAGGTTCTTTCATATGGAGGAATATTGATAGGGGAGTTTTCAAGTCTTTGGGGAACCCTGTAGAGTTTCTATCCATAAGAAACTGAAAGAGGCAGTTGTCCATTAAATAGGTGATCATGTGTCTGACTGGTAAAGTGAAAAGGTATGTCTGGTGGTTTAATATAGTGGAAATCTCCAGGGCTTGAAATTGCTTGTAGAGGGGACAACAGTGCTAGAACTGATGTAGCCCTATCCTCCTCTGAGTCCCTCTCACTTTGCTTCCAACAGGTCTCCCCTTGTTTGCCTGTGCTGTCTCGCCTACTCTTCAGCAGCGACTCAGACTTGCTTGCAGATGCTTGCTGGGCCCTATCTTATTTGTCTGATGGCCCCAATGAGAAAATCCAAGCAGTCATAGACTCTGGAGTCTGCCGGAGATTAGTAGAGCTTCTAATGTGAGTGGTCTGTTAGAAAGGGCACAGATTCCCTAAACTGCTCTAAGCCCAGACTAAAGAACTGCAATCCACAGTCTACTGCCCTATCCACAGGTCTGGAGCCATGAGAGTGCTGCCAGCCTTGGTGGTCATCAGGGCTGAATACCATGTGCTGACTCTGTAATGATCAGATCTCCCTCCTCTGTAGGCACAACGATTATAAAGTCGCTTCTCCTGCCCTGAGAGCTGTAGGTAACATTGTCACTGGGGATGACATCCAGACCCAGGTAAGGAAGAGGAGAGCTTTCTTTGGATAAAACCTTCCCCTGCCTTGTGCTTTAGTCCTGATGGAAGGCAGTGAGGTCTAGGAGAGAAAGCATGGGCTTAAGTGAAAAATTCCAACTCTGCCACTTTCTGTATGACTAGGCAGCTTGGTTGCCTTCATTTCTTCTATAAACTGGAAGCAAGTTATCATCCATTGGGTGCTTTTAAAGGAAAACTAAATGGAGTAACCTGAATTACTACCTGGAACATTTTAAGGTAATTGTTAACAGTTTTTGAGTTGTGGTCTCTTTGAGATACTAAAAGGTATGGAATCTCACCCCTACTTTCAAGACCTTTAGGATCCCATGGACACTACACTACTTCATGTTAATCTGCTGCTAGTACCTCCCTTGAGGACATATAAACAGAGTTCCTCTGTTCAAAGGCTAGAGGACCTGAGTATTCTTTGAGTCTTGAGTAATTGGCATAATTCTGTGGGATTCTTAACAGATTCCGTATAGGTGAGGAATCTCACTCAAACTCACTCATTTTCTACATCATTCTTTGTGTGTGTGCATGTATGCACAAATATTCATAATATAAAATGGGTTGTTTTTACCATTTTTAAATGTACAGTTCCATGGCCTTAAGTTAAGTTCACATTATTCCCAACCATCATCCGCATCCATCTCCACATTTTCGTCATCCCAAACTGAAACTCTGTGCCCATTAAAGAATAACTCCCCATTTTCCCCTCCCTTAGTCCCTGGTAACTACCATACTACTTTGTGCCTCTTATTTTGAATTTGACTCCTGTAGGGTACCTCACATAAGTGGAACCATATATATTTGTCTTTTGTGTCAGTTATTTCGCTTAGCATAATGTCTTCAAGGTTCATCCATATTGCAGCACGTATCATACCTTTGTTCCTTTTCGTAGCTGAATCCACTGTCTGTATATACCACATAGTGCCTTTTTCCATTCCTCTGTTGGTAGACACTTGAGTTGTTTTCACTTTTTGGCTACTGTGGATAATGCTTCATTGAACATTGGCATATGAGTCCCTGCTTTCAGTTCTTTTGGATACATATACCCAGAAGAAAAATTGGTAAATCATATGGTAGTTTTATGTTTAAGATTTTGAGGAACCACCATACTGTGTTACACAGTGACTGCACCCATTTACCTTCCCACCAACAATATACTAGGTTCTAGTTTCTCCACATGCTTACCAACTCTTGTATTGTCTGAGGTTTTTGGCAGTGACCATCCTAATAAGCATGAAATGGTATCTCATTGCAGTTTTGATTTGCACTTCCCTTAATGATTAGTGATGTTTGGCATGTTTTCATATATTTATTGTCCATGTGTTTACCTTCTTTGGAGAAATAGCTGTTCAAGTCCTTTACCCATTTGGGTTGTTCAGTGTTTTTAGTTGTGAGGGTTCTTTATATATTTTGGATGCTAATCCTTATCACATATATAATTTGCATATTTTTCTCCCATTCTGTAGTTTGCCTGTTCACTCTTTTAATGATCTTTTGATGCACAGAAGTTTTTTATTTTGATTAGGTCCAGTTTACCTAATTTTCTTTTGTTGCCTGTGCTTTTGATGGTCTAGGTTATTCTTAACTGTTCAGCCCTCCCTTGCCTGCTTCACTTGCTGAGCAGTCCCAAGGAGTCAATCCGGAAGGAAGCTTGCTGGACCATTTCAAATATCACTGCAGGCAACAGGGCTCAAATACAGGTAAAACAAGCAGGAGGGGTGGGAGGACAGTGGGAAGGCATGGGAACATGAGCGGTTATGGGATGTTTGCTTCCAGAAGAAAGAATTTGTTCCCCTTTAGAAATTGGGGTCAGTGTGTGCTGTTGGCCCAAGATTATTTGTAGTGGAAGCCAGGTTCCTTGCAGCCTGTCACCTATTTGGTAAGAACAAAGGAGAAGGACTAGGAAGGGGAAGATGTCTAAATCTTCACTGACTTGTAGGCTGGATTTGCTTTCTCCTCTTGAAATGACTTTCTTCCTCATACCCCAAATCCTCTCTCAGGCTGTCATAGATGCAAATATCTTCCCTGTGTTGATTGAAATCCTTCAGAAAGCAGAGTTCCGTACAAGGAAAGAGGCAGCCTGGGCCATCACCAATGCCACATCAGGAGGAACTCCTGAGCAGATCAGGTATCACATTCCTTTCCCATTGTCTTGGGTGATATGTATATTTTCTTGGCTCTTGGTTTATTCTTTTTCTGGGATAGGTATGCCCCAGTACAGCTGCACTAGGGTTTAACTGATAAGCTGCTAGAATGGCACTGAATCTGGAGTAGATTCCTATAAACTATGTCCCTCTTTTCCCTTCTGGACTATAGAAAACTGACACAGACATTCTTGCACTTCTGCTTCTCTGTACCCTCTAGGGAATTTAAATCTGTGTAATTGTCAGTTATCCGTGCAAATGAAAGAGAAGCATGCTGTGGCTTGTTCAAAGCAGCTCTTTGGGGAAGTCATTTTCACAGTGATACTTGGGAAAAGCAAATAGGAAGCTCCTTTATGTGTGTGCTCTTTGATTGTGGTTTCTATTATCAACATAAGTGAGAGTGGTAGGAATTGGACAGGTGTCTTGCCCTCAGCTTGTAGCTTAGTAAGGGAAGTATGAGTATCTTCAGTATCTATAAAGCCTTAGGAGATAAAGGATAGCTGTTGAGTTAAGCTTCGAAAGATACAGGGTTGTAAGAGGCCTTTGCACAGGAAAAAGCATAAGTAAAGGAACAAAAATCAGAAACCCAGAGACCTTTACATGTTTGACTGGAATGTAGTGTCCTTGAAAGGGAATGATGGGAAGCAAAGCTAGAAAAGGAGGGTAGGAGCCAGATCATAGAGGGTCTATATTGTCATTCCAGCAGAGCTTAGACTGCAAAATTTTTAATCAGGGAACTGATGTTTCAGAGTGGTAATACTGCAGTAAGGAGATGTTAGAGACGAGGAGGAATCTCTGGCAGCCTTCCACATGGAAATGAACTAGACCAGGAGCAATGGGAGGGTGGAGAAATTGAGGGAAAGGATGGGTAATTATGAAAGCTGAGCTAGAGTGGATAGCTGGGATTGCTGACATGTATGTGGAAGATCCACAGGCCCCACAGCACCTGCCCAGCACCTCCCTTGCCCTTTATTAATATGCAGCTTGCCTGGTCTCTGGGCCACAGGTATCTGGTCTCACTGGGCTGCATCAAACCCCTGTGTGACTTGCTGACTGTGATGGATTCAAAGATTGTGCAAGTTGCCCTCAATGGACTGGAGAACATCCTTCGGCTTGGAGAGCAAGAGGGCAAGCGCAGTGGCTCAGGGGTCAATCCCTATTGTGGTCTCATCGAGGAAGCCTATGGTATGTACTTTCTCCCCTGCCTCACTTCTTCCTCATGTAGAAAGGTTCTAGGTCAGAACCTGGCGTCTGTAGGGCTTCAAAGTAGTATACATATGTGAGCATGTGTGTTACTTTGGGTCATCACTTGAATGCAAAGTTTTACACCATCAATTCCTTCTGTCTCTAAGGAGCAGTAGATCAGTTCTCTTTCTGATAGGCTTTACCTAGGAAGCAGGTATGATACACATGCAAAAATAAAGCTCCAGAATTGAATTGATAATAGAATCAGGTGCTAGAAGGCATGTTTTCAGCTGAGCTTCTAGCAGATTCCAGTAAGAGTGCTGGATTGACTTACTATTCATCTCTGAGAGATTCAGAGAGACTAGTGATTTGCCCAGGTCATGCTGAAAGTTAAAAGCACAATCAAGACTAGAACCTCTGGCTTATAAGTGACATTTTGGTCTTTTTCCTTTGGGTTTATATAATTTTGAGAAAAGATTTTGGCTCTTCTTTTTTAGGCCAGAGGAGGGGAAAGAAAAATAGACCCATAGGAAAGCACTCAAATTTTATTTTTCTCCTTCCTTCCATAGGCTTAGATAAAATTGAGTTTCTCCAGAGCCATGAGAACCAGGAGATCTATCAGAAGGCCTTCGATCTCATTGAACACTACTTTGGTGTAGAAGATGATGACAGTAGCCTGGCCCCCCAAGTGGATGAAACACAACAGCAGTTCATCTTCCAGCAGCCTGAGGCCCCCATGGAGGGCTTCCAGCTATAATGTCTGCCTCCGGGGAGGGGAGGGGATGGGAAGCACCACCGACCAGCGGAAAAGCAGCCCTCTGGTGGGCGGGAAACCATCCCCCCAGCCATCAGCCACCACACACCTTTGCTGCCCTGGAAACTGTGCTCTTGACCTGCTCCGCCCCCTTCCCTAGAGGGAGCACCCTCTGGACAGACAGAACCATCTGAGGCTCACATTTGGGTTTTGTGACAAGAAGGGGACATGTTGGGTTTTTCTTCCTTACACTATATTTTGGCTGCACATGTCTTTAACCCAGGAGCCCTGGGGTAGACAAAGGAGGACTGAGGTAATCGATTTTGCACCTTTTTATTTTTATTTTTTCTTCAGTGGTGACTTCCTTCCCTTTTATCTTCCATCATCCTTCCCAGTCCTCTGCCCTGATCTGTATAACTCTTATCTTGGGTACTTGAGCAGATGGAATATTCCAGAGGTTGGGGGGTGGGAGGGGAGGGGAGAAACCCAAACAAAGTGTTCTTGCTCTGTCAGAATATCAATCTTGTATGCTTGGATTGAGTTATTTAATTTTTTTTCTTTTGCACATTTTTCTTGTATTAAGATTGCTCTTTCCAAGAGCCATGAGTTCCTGGTTTTAGGAATCCCAGCTGCCAGCATTGTCTGGGACTAGAGGCTGAGAGGGAGGTCTCCATGAGACAAAGGACCGTCCCTCCCTCTTACCCCTTGCCCAGACCTCTTTAGTCTGGGAGCTCCCCCTCACTCTCCTGGGGCAAGTACACAGTAGGAGTGGAGGGGAGAAACACAGGCCTTCATGTGTCGCTACTGATCCCATGTTTCCTACCCACCTGCCAATGGTGCAACCCAACTTCATTTGTTTACTTGAAAATTCCACTCAGAGTCAAATGGACCTCTGAGGTAGCTGTATTTTCTCCTAAACATGAGACAGATGGCTGTAGCTCGTCCTTTCTCCTGAGGAGAAAGCCCTTGCTCTGGTGACCCAGAAGTTGCAGAGGAGGTTGGAGTGAGAGTGTCATGTATTGGGATAGCCAGGGACCCCTGTCTTTGGCCTTTCTTCTTCCTTTTCCATAGTTGTATTATGTATATTTTACTTCCAAAGGAGAGAATGTCAAAAAGTTCTGTATTTTTTTATAGTATATATTAGTTAAGTCAATCTTAATTGGTCTCAAGAGGAAGAACTCTGTAATTTCTGTAAGTAGGATACTGTGAGGAAGACCAAAAGAGATGTGGAAGCTCCCTTGCTCAGGAAGTCTGAGCTTGGTCCTTTTCCTCTCGACTTGGGTTCTGGGCCATTACCTAGGACCAACCCTTAGCTCTGGATCCTTTATGTAGCAGGTCAGCCTGGCCTGATTGTCCCAATACCTGAAGGGAGCAAGGATGACCCCAGGGCCTGGTGAGGTCTACCACTCTGATCTTTACTGCAGAGCATCCTGCTTACATCAGGAAACTCAGAAAGCAGACTGCCTTCTCAGATTCATTCTCAGAGGCCCTTGCCCACAGAAGTTATCACATACAGTTTTCCTTTCCAGTTATCACAGAAACTTAGCAGCCTCAGGACTTTAGTGAGAGTTACTGCTATCTTTACTGTTGGGATACCCCATACGTGGTTTGAGTTTTGCCCTTTCATGTGACAGTTACAATCCTAACATCTTCTCTCTTTGGGTAAAGCTAGTGCAGTCCTCAGTGGCTTGCCTGTGCTTCAGTGGATTACATATGGTAGAGCCCAGCTGTTGGGCATAGCTTAGAGAAGGTTGTTGGCTAAGTGTAGGCCAGCTGTGGAGCTGAAGGCACAATCTGCCCTGCCCTGCTTCCAGTCAGAGGTGCCCTGCTCCAAGCTGTATTTTCCCCTCCCCCAGAACAGTGCCATTCTTGCTTCCATTCCTATACATCCTCTCTGGCTCAGGTGAAATCCATACCCCTCTGCTTACAGATCTAAAGTTGAGGTGCTCACTGTCAGCTATAGGTCTTGAGTTGGACTCTTATTCTAGTGTTGAGATCCAACTGCAAAACCATTTTCTGAGAAAGGTGGTTTGGGGCTAGCAGTTATCTCTGGAAAGTCACACCAGTGCTGTACCACCTTAGTGAGTCAGATGCTACTCTTCAGCTTGGGAATGATGACTACCAACCCCCAATCTCCCAGATAGGCAAGGGCAGGATCTTTTTCACTTGGCCTGCCAACTCCATTACAAAACTGTCCTCCAACAGTTCAAAGAAAAGCCACACCCTTGTCCTTGTCCAAAGGGCAGAGCACTTAGTAGGGTCTATTTTGAACATCTCAAGCAATAGTTAAGTCCTTGATATTTGGACCAAATTTTTATTGTGAGACATATACATCCTTCTTTTCCCAGCTGGCCCTCCAAAGTCTACTTTTGCTTCAGATCTGGACTCTACCAGATGGAAGGCTTTTTTGATCATCTGGCTGCTGCTTAAAGCCAGTTTTCTCCAAGGACTTCAAAGGCTGAAGTCTCCAGGGCAACATGAGGACAGTCTTCTCATCAGATAAAAGTGGCTTCTTGGAGCTTTCCTTTGTTAGTGTCTTCCTCAGATCATGTTTTCCCATTATCTTCCTCTTACCCTTTCAGTCAACAAGCAAAGTTCTTCCAGCCACAGAGGCAATAACATCATCTTGTGTCTCTTCCTTTCCTTTGGCCATCTTGGGAAGCAGAATATTTTTTTAGCCCAGGCTTGATAGCCACTCTTTGTGAGCAGCCCCTATCTGGACTCCAGACCTGGCCTAAGTGAGGCCAAAGGCTTTCTGGTAGATTTCTACATGGGTGTTGCAGGGATGCTTCCCAGCCTGCTGTAGGGAATCAGCTGGTAAGACATGTTTTGGAATCTTCATGTGATGGCACGTGGCTGGTCTATCCATCTTAAGATCTCTGGTGGATATCTAGATGTAGGTTAAGGAAAGGAACCTTTTTCTTAGCTAAAGTGTTCAAATACTGTTTTGAACTATTTTATTAACAGTCACCTCTAGGCATCCCACTCCCAGGTACTAACAGGGTCTCTGGTCTTAGAAACCTGCTTTCAGTTCTGAGCTATCCCAGTGACTGCCTATTCTTGGTATTGGCTGCAACTTTCTGCTAAAGCTACATGGGTTCCACCCTCAGCTGGCCAGCCTGGTTACTGGGGGCAGTGGATATAAATTATCCTTTCATGGAGTGAGCATTGATGGCCTCAGATTTTAGGGACCCTTGGTGTTCCCCTTTACCTAGGACCCTTAGATCTATTTCTTCTGCTCTCTTTGCCCTGGAAGCCACTTTCCAGGAGCCCTATTTTTTGGAGTTGAACTGCACAGATTATAGCTGCTACTACACTTCAGGAAGAGCAAAAAGAAGGATTTCAGGCACAGACTGTACTTCTCTCAAGCCAAACCAGTTTAAAATGAAAACTGTCTAGCAGAGTGAACTGGATTTCCAATTTCTCTTGTCTGCCTGCCTTCTCCCTACATCCAAGAGTTACCCTTCTCCAGCAAACTAGAAGGGAAGGGAATGACTGCCTAGCAATACTTCCCTCCTCATCCCACAGTGCACCTCTTTGAAGGCTTGTTTGTTTGTTCAGGCTACACCTCTTCTCCCTGAGACTCACAGTTTGGTATCCATCCTCTTTGGTATTCCTCAGCAGATTCAACTTCTGGGCTCAGATTCTGGATTCTCGGTTGAAGGCAGGGAGCCAGATTCTCTGGGTCCCTGCAGGCACTACAGGGACACATGGGGAAAACAGGCTGGCTGGGGACCTCAGGAATGTGTGTGTCTGTCTGCCTTCCTGGCAGCCTTGGGAATGGTACAAAGCTTAGTGCGCTGAGCCATAGGAATTGCTTATAACCAGTAGCGACATTTTTTAGTTAGAACTATCCTAGGAGTGAGTGAGTGTGACATACTGCTCAGAGTAGGTTTCAAGACTGCACATTCTAGGCCAATCTTGTCCAGTATTTTTTCTATGTTTTAACCTCTGAATTCTTCTGTTAAGCCAACAAGCTGAAAATTTGGCCATGCAGGGATCCATATCATAGGCACTAGCTACTCTTTGGCCAAGGCCTTCATAAATAATTCAGTCGTTCCATTGTCTAGCCCCTAGCCCACCCCCAGATAAAGACCATGGCAAGGGAAGAATTTGAGGTCAATACCAACCAAGTGAATTGAAGCTGTTATTTTTTTCTCCAAGAGGACATTGTACATGATGCTTGGGCTATGTGCAGAACCAAAACTGGGTATGAGAGTTAGAAGGGGCAGCATTAAATAATGGGCCCAGAACACTCCAAGAGAAAGGTTTGCGTAGTTCATTCTAAAGGTCTTCTGTGGGTTTGGGCCTACCTCATTACTTCTGGGCCAGCCCTGATACTGACATCCACGTCAGCACATGCCTGAACCCCTCTGCTGAACACTAGCCATATTCCCCTCTGTAGGTCCGTCAGATCTTCAGCCCCTGTATTTTGGGGAGAGAAAACTACGATGCCCTGGGGGCAGTGAAGGAAGTCAAAGCTCAGATCCTAAAACTGACTGGGAACCTCTGATTCAGAGGATGTCCTTAAAGAGTCTGCCTCTATGAGAACCTTCAGGCCCAGGCTCTTTCAGCCAGCTTTTGTGGGAACTGACTTTGATCGAACCACTAAAGAAGTGAAGGGGGTATGAGGTCCCAGCGACCCAAGAGAGACTGGATGTCCCTGGAAAACATCTTGGGTTCCCAGCTACAGACCCTAAGAACCTGAGTCAAACCCTTTTCCTCAGTTTTTTTCCTTTCCAATTTTATTTGCTTTTAGTTTTCCGAGAACTGTAAACTCTGGCTGTTATCCATGTTCTCAGGGCCCCTGGGTAGACCGACAAAAAGCTTGATTACAGAGCAGACATAGGCCAAGAAACCATGGCATTGAGTGTGCTGAGTCCAGCAAATGATATTTATATACACATCCAAATTTGAAGAGAAATGTATTTCTTTAGGTTTCAAACACTGTAATAGATATAAAGCAAAAATAAAAAACCTGTTGCAATCTAGATTGTCTTTGGAGTGATCCTAAACTGGATTTTTTAGAAGTAAATGAGAAGAGGGTGTTTAAACTTGTAACCTAACACAGAACTATGAATTGCAACCACCTGCTTTTGCTACAAAGAATTTTTTTGAAATACAAAGAGTTTTATTGAAATTGACATACAATAAATGGCACATATTGATAAGTTTTGACATAGATGCATCATGAAAACTATCACCACAACCAAGATAGTGAACATACCCATCATCTCTAGAAGTTTCCACATGGCCCTTAAGAATTCTTCCTTCCCACCCAACCCACAGCAGTCACTGATCTGCATTGTCCCTAGAGTCCTTAAAGTCTTTTAGCAGCATTTCATCAGCATCCCTCCACAACTCTTTGAGCCCACTGAGGTCATAGAGTTCACAAAGTACTTGTTTTGGTTTAGATCATTTCCTACAGCAGAGATTATAGACAAGCTGCCAAAAAGTCAATCCAACACAAAAGATTGGTATTGGTTTTCTGACTTATTTAGGTTTTAATTTGTTGGCAACATTTTTTAAAATGAGGGTATATCTAGAAAAATATCTGGCACTACTGGGCCTGAATTTCTGCTTGAAAACTGCCTGCAAGAACTGTAGTTTACCACAATCCACCAGTTGCCGGTGGTCTGCTTGACTTTGGCAGATGCAAATATTGTCGCTATTTTAGAGCAAAAGAGAAAATAACTTTTTAACCCATGTGTTCTATCAAGTTATCCTACTCCTTGCCATCCTGTTCTAATTTATTACCCAGCTGGCCCCTATAGGCTACTTGATCCTTCTTGCTATACCAACTCCTCATCCTAAGCAAACCTTGTTCTTATGTTCTTTATCTCTGCCCAAAACACTCTCTTCCTATGGAAATCTGTCAAGGCCTGATTTATGTTAACTCCTCAAGAGGTTTCCAACATGCCTTTCTGGAAATAATCAGGGCCCTGGTTTCAAGAGACCTGGATTCCAAACCTTTCTGAGCTTGAATTCCACCGTTATACTACTATACCATATTGCCTCTTAATGTTACCTGGTAAACTCAAGGGTTCAGGCAGAACACTGCCCTGAAGTTTTAACTGGGGGGAAATACTTAACATCTTTATGAGCCTTAAAACAATGCCCAATTTTCACAAATTTAAACATTCTCAGCTTTCTGTCCCCAGACTGAGGCTAAGCTTTTGGAGTTGAGAATTTAGCCAACAGTTCTGCAATGTTCATTGACTAGCAAGCAAATATCTTCAGCACCTGGTTACTAATGCTGTAATAGAACTCCATCCTGAGCTATGGAGATAGGTCAGAGCACTGTGAAGGGTCCAAAGTAACCTTTGAGTTGGGCCTCAAAAGATTGTTTTTGTTAAAAGGGAATTTTAAAAGCTGTGCTAGCACCTGCAAAACCCTGGGAAATCCTGGAAATACTACTAGTTGGAGCACAAAAGGCAGAGGGGATGGGCAGGATTAGCTGGAAACAGAAGCCAACCCATTAACACATTCAATTCTAGGTGTACTACTGGTGGTGATTTCATTATCTATAGGCAACTGGATAAAGAATTGTGACCTCATATTTGGAGAGATGTTTTATTTTTTATCCCTTTAGCCCTAAGCAATTGGGACTTTATATAGAGGGCAGGCCAGTCAAAAGTCGCAGGATCTGCTGAGACCAAACTTACCCTTGCAGTGACCCCTCAGCCCCTGCCAAAAGGGATTCAAGCTGATAATGGAGAGGGAAAAAAGAAGAACCTACTTTCACAAGTTACTTTGACTCATCAGGGAAAGCCTGGTATGGTGGTTACTTCTGGCTAAGGGAAGGGTAGGTAGTCCAATAGTTAAGATGTGTCCAGACTACCTGGTTTTGAATCCCTGCTCTAACCACTCAAAACAATATGACCTTGGAAAAGTTATCTAACCTTTGCCTTACCGTCCCCAGCTGTAAAATAAGAATAACACATACTACTTATCCTGATAGTAGTCATGAGGATTAGGCTAACAGATGGCGAGAAAGCACACAGAGCTCAAAGAATTGCTGTTGCTATTGTTATTAACAGTTTCCATTTGGATAAGAAAATTGAGGCCCTGAGAGAAAAGAATGCCCGGCCACACAACAAATTGCTGATGAAATAGGACTGGAATGCAGGTCCCCTGACTCCCAGACCCAGTATTCTATCCCTTGTCCTCAGAGCTCCCAGACAGTTCGAGACTTTAACAGCAGGTGAGCAGGAAAGGGTTGGTGGAAGTGTGCAGGGAAGAACAGCCGGCGCAGGATTTCGAGGAGTTGAATCATAGCTCTACACGACAGCAAGATTGACGTGTGAATTCGTGCAGAATGACTAGCTCCTTTCGTACCTCCTGGGTATTGACTCCCAGGACTAAAACCCTTTCTACTTCATTTTGGGAGTTAGGGGGTCAGCCCAGGTGCATGGCGGGACATGTAGTCCTTTCCCCTACCTCGTCTTCCCAATTTACCCGCCTCAGAGGCCGCCTTCGCTTCGTCTTTCCCAGCAAGCCCCGCGAGAACGCCGGCTATTGATTGGCTGCGGCGAGGGCAGGCGGCTCTGCCGGCAGCGGTTACCCAGGGTTTCCGGTGTGAGGCCAGAGTGGGCGAAGCCGTCGGGACGTAGGCTGTGAGGTGCGTCCCGCGGCGGCTTGAAGGTTGAGGCGATTAGAGGGTCAGACGGTCTGGACGCTTTCTGCCAGTCGCAAGAATCATTTCCCAGGACTAAAACCCTTTCTACTTCATTTTGGGAGTTAGGGGGTCAGCCCAGGTGCATGGCGGGACATGTAGTCCTTTCCCCTACCTCGTCTTCCCAATTTACCCGCCTCAGAGGCCGCCTTCGCTTCGTCTTTCCCAGCAAGCCCCGCGACAACGCCGGCTATTGATTGGCTGCGGCGAGGGCAGGCGGCTCTGCCGGCAGCGGTTACCCAGGGTTTCCGGTGTGAGGCCAGAGTGGGCGAAGCCGTCGGGACGTAGGCTGTGAGGTGCGTCCCGCGGCGGCTTGAAGGTTGAGGCGATTAGAGGGTCAGACGGTCTGGACGCTTTCTGCCAGTCGCAAGAATCATACGGATTCCGCGCGGGGACTCGGGCCGCGGGGGGCAGGGTCGATGTCTGTGCGCATGCGCAGGCGGGGTGGCGCGCGCGGCTGGAGGGTGCGCGGGGTGTGGGTGGTGGCGCGCGCGGGGGGTCCCACGTGGGGCTTGCGGGGCGGGGAGGGAACAGGAATCGAGCGTCCCGCCACGTCAGTCTCGGGGCCCGAGCCTATCCCGCGCTCGGCCTGTGGCAAGGGAGTCGTGTAGTGACGGGAAGTGGCTTCGGGAAGGGAGGCCTGGCCTCCTCCTCTGCTAGAGCAGCGCCTCGAAACCTGCCTGGGCACACACGCTCCCCTAACCGGCCCGAGACCAAAAAAACCTTTGGCTCCCTCCGGTGAAGACCGGCCAATTTATTTTAAGAAGCTTTTTGCGCCGTTTGGGGATTTCTGGTCCAGCCTATGAAGAATTTTGAAGTCTGGAAAATAGCAAGTGTTTGTTTCCATAGGATCCGCTCCTAACCTAGCATTACAAACCACAATGAAGAACCAAGACAAAAAGAATGGAGCTGCCAAACCATCAGGCTCCAACACAAAAAACCCGGGGCAACCGGAAGCAGGACCAGAGGGAGCCCAGGGGCGGCCCAGCCAGTCGGCTCCTGTGACAGAAGCTGAAGGTTCCACCAGCCAGGCTCCAGGGAAGACTGAGGGTGTGTGCCAGCTCTGCTTTTCCAGAGGGAAGCGGGGGAGGAGTTTGCCATGTGCCAATCTAGCTTCTGGAGTTAGAGGCGGAGGCCACTGTTTACCCAGAAAAAGGAAATGTAGAATGAGAGGACAGTGCTGAGTCTGTACCATCCCCGCCCCTTTTCCTGGAGGGTTGATAGAGCCTGCCACTCTAAGCACAGGGGCAGAACTCTCTTGAGGGAAGGCTCTGACAGGATTAAATCAGGGGGCAGTCAGATGAGACATCCAGCTGGTGGTTCCAGATTAGGAACCCCTCATTTTCCAGGGGGGACTGCTCTTCATATTTGAGGCATTTCTGGAAGTTTTTTAATAGTGAGAAATGGCTTTTTTCAGGAGAAGAAAAGGATGGACAAGACACTGAGCTCCAGCTATGCATTCCCTATGTGATGGGTGCTCTAGTTACTTGATTTCTTTTATCCTCACAACAAACATAGTTTGTTAGTAGTGACAAATAGTTATATTATTTTATAGGTAAGTAAAGGCCTAAAGAAGTTAGGTAGCATTTAACCCAAACCAGTAGATTTGGGCCTGAAAAATCCCAACCACTGTGAAACCTGGCTTATTTCTCACTGCCCCTCATTCTCTCCTGTTGTAGGAGCACAAGCCAAAACTGCTCAGTCAGGGGCCCTCCGTGATGTCTCTGAGGAGCTGAGCCGCCAGTTGGAAGACATCCTGAGTACATACTGTGTGGACAATAGTCAGGGGGGCCCAGGTGAGGATGGGGCACAGGGTGAACCTGCTGAACCCGAAGATGCAGAGAAGTCCCGGACCTATGCCTCAAGGAATGGGGAGCCTGAACCAGAGACCCCAGTAGTCAATGGTGAGAAGGAGACCTCCAAGGGAGAGCCAGGCACAAATGAGATCCGGGCAAGTGACGATGTTGGAGACCGAGACCACCGAAGACCACAGGAGAAGAAGAAAGCCAAGGGTCTGGGTGAGCAGAGGGCAACCACTCATGAGGCTTGTGAGGGGAGGGAGATTGGACCTGACATTCCTTGGGCTAATCTGCTCTGCCAAGATTCAGAAGAAACCCCACATCCTAGAGCAGCAAGTTGCACTAGTTTAATCAAAGCCAGGGCTGTTGGGTCATAGCATAGAGGTGGGCAGGTTATTCACTACACAAGCGCTTCTGGGCTTGGGGACAAGTGGGAACCCAAATCCAACCTGCTCTTTCTTTGTGAAAAATGGAGAGCAGGAGGCCAGGGTGGGCTCCTGTGCCAGCCAGCACCATTTCTAACCTGCTCTTGCAACCTTGGGCAAGACCTTTCTCTTTCCTCGTCCTTAGTTTTCACTTCTCTACTGGAAAAGAATGGGCTAGACCAGAGCTGAAAACTCAGATAACCCAAACTGGCCAGGGGCCCTGTGAGGACCAAGTGAGTGCCTACTTTGTCCAAAGGGTTGACTGCCATATGGTCCCAGCAAGTTGACAAGCATGTAAAACTACAGGCTGTGTAACTAGACTTTTTTTTTCTTTCTTTCACAGGCTGTGTAACTAGACTTTTTTTTTTTCTTTCTTTCTTTCTTTTTTTAAGAAAAGCCAGAAATCAAGAGTTATGTGAAATCTCTAGATTTTTAGTAGTTGGGAATTAATATGCTGGGAGCCAAACAAAACCCACCTGTGGGTTGCCTTCAGCCTGTGCCCAGCAGTTTGACACTTCAGGAGCCTGCTGCTGTGCTGTGCTGGGCAGCCTTCTGGGAAAGACTTCCCAGAGGCAAGGCTCCCTGACTCAGTCAGGCAGTGGGGGGAAGTCATTGGAGTGGGGCCGGGGACTAGTATGCAGTTAAGAATCAAAGTAGGTGAAACTATACCCATGTCCTAATCCCTACTCCCCCACCTACCCCTACCTGTCATCCTAATTTAAAAGAGGTTGTTTTTTGTTGTTTGGGTTTTTTTAAATCTTAAGATCAAATACTGAAATGTATATTCATTTTAAAGTCCACTCTTTTTGCATTCTTCCTCTTTCAGAAGGGCTTTCCTTGTATTGAAGCAGTAGCACTGAATTAGCAGTTGGGACACCTTTCTTCCCCACTGTTGGTAGAAAAGCAGGTTTTTCTCCATCCCTGGCACTCATCAAGAAGAAACTGCAGAGATTCATTCATTCTTCTATTCAGTTTTTGTTGAGCATGTCCTCTGTGATGGGCACCAGGAACAATACTGTGGCTACAATGATAGGCAAAACTGAGTGGATCAGCCCTCATGAGCACACAGTCTAACAGGAAAGGCAGGCAGTTTGACAAACAGAAACAAAGCCTGATAAGGGAGGGCTGCCTCAAGGTGGAAGAGTGTGGGCCCAGGCCCAGAGCAGCCCCCAGAGAAGGGAATACATGTTTCTGCTCCCTGTGCTTTGCAGGGAAGGAGATCACATTGCTGATGCAGACACTGAACACACTGAGTACCCCAGAGGAGAAGCTGGCAGCTCTGTGCAAGAAGTATGCTGAACTGGTCAGTTCTCCCCCTTCTGCTCACATTCCCCTGCTTTTGGAAAGTCAGTAGGTCACTTGGCTTGGGGTTGAAGGTGCAGGGGAAAGCAGATGGCTTAATTCCCGTTCAGCTCTCTCTGAGCATTTTTCCCATCTCTAAGGTGGGGAGTCAGGTCCCAGCCAGCCTCTTCAGGGCTGACAGCAAGAGGAGAAACGTCACATCCCTATTTTCTGGCCTGAGTCTAGATACCAGGTCATTTTGCCCCTGTGTGCTTGCTTCTGCGTGTGTCTCCCCAGAACAGGGAAATACACAGTGCCATCATCACACCGAACCAAATTAATGCAATCACTTGATACTTTTCTAGCACCCAGGTAGTAATCACATTTCCCAGAGTGCTTGAAAATGTCAGCTTGATCAAATCAGGGTCCAAACAAGGTCCATTTATTGCATTGGGTTGTCATGATTTTTTTTCCTTTTTTACTCCAAAACAGTCTTCATCTTTACTGCCCCCACTTTTCCTATGACATCAGCTTATTGCAGATCAGTTATCCTGTAGGGTACCTCACTTTCTAGGTCTGTGGTGTGGCATTTAACTTCTTCCTTTACCTCCTTAGCTCCTCCTGTAAATAAAATAGAAGTTAGATCTAGACTCTTGATCCAATTCCAGGCCAACTTTTTTGACAAGAATTCTTCATAAGCAGTAGTCTGTGCTTCATGTTGTATCACAGAAGTAGTTTGGCTGTCCCACTTTCAGTGACGGCATATTGCTTGGTGGGAACAGACAGGGCTCTCCATTGTCTGCCCACCCATCAGAATTTGAATGATCAGACTCATCCACTGAAGGTCATTACCTAATTACCTATTCTTAAATTCCTTCATCCCAGTCATATTATTAGCTGGAACTTACTGTGCAATGGGGAAAATCATGCCTGCCTAATGGGGTTATTATAATGATTAAATAAAGGAAAGGCTGTGAAAAAGATACCACCCTTGTAGAATGCTCCAGCCAGGGAAAGATTGATGATGTGAGAGAGGAGGAAGTGAATGGCCAGAGTTTTCGAGTCAATGAGAGAAGGTGAGGTACAGGTGCACACAGTGAGGAGCAGGGCCAGGTCCTGTGGCAGAGGAGAAGACGTGTGCAGGTGACTGGTAGGTCCGGAGTTTAGGCTTCTGTTGCTGTCCGGGAATGGGAATGACGGTTTTAGCAGGCAGAGATCTGAAAAGGAAACTGAAATAATTGTCTAGAAGAGGAGTGTGAATAACATGAGAAACACAGTAGGACTGCTAGGCAGGCAGATGGCTTCCTGAAAATGGTTGTGATGTATAGTGATGCTTCAAGCAGGGGTGCTTCCGTTGCTGGTGCAGAGTGAGCAGGAGGTTGAGAGACCAGGGTTGGGATTTTTCTGGGAAAAGGAGGCAAGAGAGTTGAAGGTGTGAGGAATCGAAATTGATAAAAAGGTAAATGTTTATTTGAAGGAGGACTGAGAGAAAGTGAAAGATGGTTTGGTCAGAGGATAGAGGGGACTTTCCAGGACAACTGATATTGGAGGTAATGAACTAAAATGATAGGAGTTGTTGGTTCTGGCTGGGGATGAGGTCATGGAGATAGGTGTGGTTCCAGGCAGTGACTGAGTCTAGAGCTGCAGTGCTCAGGACAGTAATTGAAATGAGGTTAGTCTGAATTTGGATGTGCTGTAAGTTTAAGATACACATAGGATTTCAAGCACCTAAGTAAACTATCTCAAATTTTTTACATTCATTTCAGATTGAAATTGTATTTGGATATTGATTAAATAAATACATGACTGACATTAATTTCACCTATTTCTTTTTACTATTTCAATGTGGCCACTGGAATTTTTTTTTTTTTTTTTGGAAATTTTTAATTATATAACTGAGTTGCATTGAATTTCTACTGAATAGCATTGAGTAGGCTCATGGGAGGAGAGCTGAGCTGTGGAGAGGACAGGGTCCAAGGAGGAAGTTAAGGTCTGTGAGCCCAGCAAGTCGGGAGGATGTCTGTGGAATGAAAAGGCCAAGATGATAGCAGCAGTCACGCTAAGGAGTGAATGGTGAACTAGAGCTAAAGTCTTGGAGCAGTGAGGGGGGTGATGGGTCTTTTGGTGAGTGTAGGAGGAGGGGAGCAGGTGGTCTCATCTGAGGCATGAGTGTCCCAAGAGCTCGGGAATGTAACAGTCTGAGTCTTGAAAGTTCTGTCTCTGGAGTCAAAGCAGGGAGAGAAGCTGGGATCTGGCTGTGCACCTCTGCTTGTCCTGTCTCAGTGTCCATCTCGGTCTCCGTGGGATAGGCCCCTGGGGTTGTTGGCAGGAGTGTGAAAAGTACCTGCACGGTGTCCAGCCTAAGCTGTTAAATGGCTGGAGTTGGGTCAGCTCAGGAGACCCTGCATCCCCATGGGGAGAGCCCTGAAGAGTGCTTACCTGCCCTCCGCATCTAGCTGGAGGAGCACCGGAACTCCCAGAAGCAGATGAAGCTCCTGCAGAAGAAGCAGAGCCAGCTGGTGCAGGAGAAGGATCACCTGCGCGGTGAGCACAGCAAGGCCGTCCTGGCCCGCAGCAAGCTGGAGAGCCTATGCCGCGAGCTGCAGCGCCACAACCGCTCCCTCAAGGTAGGCTGGCCATACCCCCTCCAGGGACAACTCTGGATTCCTTAGCTTCCACTTTTCTTTGGTGGGTTTTCCTGTTAAAAGAGTAGCACAGGCTTTTGGTACAGAAATAGCTTTTCCCAATAAAACCCCACCTTAGAGCTACTCATAACCGCTTGACAGGGATTTGTGTTAGGTAAGGTAAAGGCCAAGGTGCAAAGAGAGCCCAGAATGCAGGCTCCCAATTCAGCAGCAGTCCACAGGTGAGCCAGGCTTATGGGCTGACGAGCAGCTCTTCTCCCGGAGTTGATCAGTCAGCCATATTGGGTCCTTTCTTCTCATTCTGCTTCTCCTGATTAAAGCCCAGTCACTGCCAGGACCTCCAGATGGTTTTTGTAAACAATATCCTTCATGTATTATATAATTTGGATCCGTGAATATATGGTATTTTGCAACTTGTTTTGCTCATTTTTAGTTTTTCTTTTAAAATATCACAAATTTAATATAAATTTGATGTAAGACATTCAAAGTTGACAAAAGTATAACACATCAAACCCAAGTCTACCTCCTCAACCCCAGAAAATACTGGGTAGTTATCTTGCTTACACGTAGGTTTTAAGTACAGCTTTCAAGCTTTCCTGTCTGCATTTAAAACCCACGTACAGTTTCTTAAGCGAAATTATTGTCCATGTGTTATTTTATATCCTATTCCATTGTTTCACTTTACTCAATGCCTTTCTTATGTTTCTTCATCCGTTCTTTTTAACAGCATTGTTGTATGGATTTACTATATTTTATCAGGGCCCTGGTTAGGGTATTTTGGGGCTGTTTCTAACTTTTCAGTATTACATATATAGATCTACAATGAATATTTTGGTTGTTTGTATCCCTGACTAATTATGTAGAATTTATCAATAGGATAAATCTTGCAAGTTAAATGTCTGGGTCAAAGACATTTTAATGCAAATTTTAAATTTCAGTAGATTTTACCAGATTGCCTTCCCACCAACAGAGAGTGCCAAATTCTGTACAACCTTGGAATTTTAACTACTTGGGTGGGGAAGTCAGAGATGAAAGCACATTAAAGCAGACTACTTAATCTGAGGTTTGGAAGAATCGGCTCCTGAGATCGCCACTTACGCATATGCCCGCATCTTTCTAGGGAGGGAGTCTGTCACTTGATGTCACCCTATAGACAGGGGGTCCATCCGGAGCCCACACCGCGTGACATCTCAGAACCTGGCTACTCCTTTCTTTGAAAGCAGGAAGGGCTTTTGATAGAGACCATCCTTGGACTAGCTGGGGGCCTAGTGTGGCTGGGTGGGGAGCAATGGGTGATGGAGCTGGGGCTGACTTCTCTGTGCAGGAAGAAGGCGTGCAGCGGGCCCGGGAGGAGGAGGAGAAACGCAAGGAGGTGACCTCGCACTTCCAGGTGACGCTGAATGACATACAGCTGCAGATGGAGCAGCACAATGAGCGCAACTCCAAGCTGCGCCAGGAGAACATGGAGCTGGCTGAGCGGCTCAAGAAGCTGATTGAGCAGTACGAGCTACGAGAAGAGGTAAAGTGACATAGGGAAAAAATTCCCTTTGTGGCCAGGGAAATTGGATCTTCTGGGTGTGTGCTGGCACTGGGACTGCCCTTTTCAAGCTTCCTCCCATTCTTACTCCACCTTCCTTGGGAGGGGAGTGATGTGCATCCTCACACACATGAAGACTGTGGTGTAAGAAGGAAGAGACTTGTTTGTGGCAACACCACCACAGGCCCACAGTGCCTCATCCCAAACAGGAGGACAGGTGTCTTGAAACTGGAACTGTCCAGGTTTTAAAATGGAGATAACGTTCATGAACCGTGTATTACATAGCCCCTCAGATCAGACACATTCATATTTATGCTATTAAACTTCTGAATATAGTCACCTAGGTTATAATTCGCCTTTACAGTGGTATAGATCATCAAGTTTGTCTGCCCGCGATGGCAGCTTCAGTTTTCAGAGTTCTTTAGAATTTGGGATTGCAGGGGAGGAGCTGGGCCTGTGGTTAGTGACCAACTCCAGGGACTCTGTCCTCTGCTTCCTGGCTGCTCTGCTCTTGCCACTTAAAAGGCAGGATGTTACTGCCTTGGCTGGCGTTGACTACCACTGCACGCACTCAGAGCCCTTTCTTTGGGTCTCCACGTCAGTCACTTGACTGTTCTTGGCCTCAGTTTCCAGGGGGACTGGCAGCTACCTTAAAGGGCTGGAGCAGGCCCTTTCTAGGCCCTGGGGGTATAGTGGTGAGTGGGATGGGCAAGACCCTGCCCTCTTGGGCTTACAGTCCAGTGTGGCCATCAAGTGCGAGGCCAAGGGGGCCTCCCCTGTCCTAACCCTTCTTTTTCTGTATTTTGTCCTCTGGGAACAAGGCTGCTTGTGATAAATTTGGTTTGAGAGGAGTTGCTTTGCTTCTTGTCCCTCAACACTGAGAGACATGGAGACTTTTTTTTTAAAGTAAGGTATTATTGATATACATTCTTATGAAGGTTTCACATCAAAAAACAATGTGGTTACTACATTCGCCTATATTGTGCCCCCCCCATACCCCATTGCAGTCACCGCCCATCAGTGTAGTAAGATGCCACAGAGTCACTATTTGCCTTCTTTGTGCTGCACTGTCTTCCCCACGATCCCCCACACACTAATCATGATACCCCTCAATCCCCTTCTCCCTCCCTCCCCACCCACCCTTCCCTTTGGTAACCACTAGTCCCTTCTTGGAGTCTGTGATTCTGCTGCTGTTTTGTTCCTTCAGTTTTGCTTTGTTGTTATACTCCACAAATGAGGGAAATCTTTTGGTACTTGTCTTTCTCCGTCTGGCTTATTTCACTGAGCATAATACCCTCTAGCTCCATCCATGTTGTTGCAAATGGTAGGATTTGTTTCTTTCTTAACAGCTGAATAGTATGACATAGAGGCTCATTACTCCCTGTAGAAGTAGAGGTGCAGGTCTGCTGGACCCTACAGCTCCTCGTTTATACCTGACCCCAGTCAGATTAGGCCTCCCATCCTGTCCCCTTTGAGCCTCTGGACCTTGGATCATAGGAATCATAGGCAGCAGAAATTCATCATGTCCCAAACTGAACCCATCTCCAAGCCACCTTCCCATCCCCAGCCCAGAAATACAAAATTCTCCACATCCTTTTTTTAGTTGCTTTTACCTTTGAAGTAGCACTGAGTCCATCCTTGCTCTCTCACCTGGTCCTGGTTCCCAGGGCTCCTCCAGCAGTTAGGACAGCCATTCCTCAGGGCACACACACTTCACCGTCGCCAGTAGGTAGGGCAGGCCTCTGCCAGCTGAGCTAAGCTACTGTGTTGGTAGAGGTGTTGCAGTTTTTGACCTTCTCTTTTGCAAGGGAGTCAGGCTACAAAAGGGAGGGTTTCCAGCTCAATGGAGTGACTTCTTGGGACTAGAAGCTTAAGTGTATTTATTACTTGGCCCCCTGTGAGCTGATTTCCGTCATAAACCCCCGTGCTTTCCCCAACTGACTCACTGTGGGAGAGAAACAAGGTGAAGTTGGGAAGTAGATCTTCCAGGGACTTGGGCCCATGTCCTAGGGTACCCATGAGAGTCCAACACATCACATTGGGGTGGGACACCAGGGCAGGGCACCCTGGTCTCTGCAGATGGTACATTGCTGCAGCCACCAGGCCTCCCTGAGAAAGGGAGCTCCTGACAGGTGGCCCCCGCCATGGTTTCCTACAGCACATTGACAAAGTCTTCAAACACAAGGACCTGCAGCAGCAGCTGGTGGATGCCAAACTCCAGCAGGCCCAGGAGATGCTCAAAGAGGCAGAGGAGAGGCACCAGCGGGAGAAGGATTTTGTGAGGCTCGGGCTCCAGGGTGGGGGTATTGGGAGGAGGTGGGTTGGGTTCTGGTTCAGCTCATAGTCAGGTCTATATGGGAGAAGTTGCTGCCTAACCAGATTGGGCACTGCTTCCTCAGGTAACAGAGCAGTAAGCCTCAGTGGGTTCCAGTACATATGGCTAAAAAAGCCAAACATGGCCCCTGGGTGCTTCTGATGGAGCCTGGGGTCTTATCTTGGAAATAGCTCCTCAAAGAGGCAGTGGAGTCCCAGAGGATGTGTGAGCTGATGAAGCAGCAGGAGACCCACCTGAAGCAGCAGGTGAGACACTGTGCATCCTGACCCTGTGCCCCCACTGTCGCCTGCCTGGGCCCTGTCCTGGGGAAGGGAAATGGGACCCTCATTCTAGGACCACCTTAACTGCCGTGTGACCTTGCTGAGGCTTTGTTCTCTCTGGACCTGCCCAGCACCTATGTGGTGGTCTTGGTGACTAGGTGAGCTTGAAGGACTTGTTCCTAGTAGGAAGTGTGCTGCTTTTAAAGGGGCAGGGACAGAATGGTGGTTTTTAATTACACAAGATATATTTAATTCTGGAAGAAAATTTTGAAAACAAACATAAAGACAAACATAAATTATAAGTCACCCCAAATCCTGCTTTCCAAGTTTAACATTTTGGATTATATCCTTCTAAATAATACAATTTTTGTTTTAAAGAAAAGTGGTATTCCAATAGAATTACCGTGTCAAAGGGCGAAGGAAGGGTCTGAGTGTATTGACCCAAAGTGCCCTCCAGAGAAACTCATTCTTACCTGTGGGCTTCTTTCTCCCCCAGCTTGCCCTATACACGGAGAAGTTTGAGGAGTTCCAGAGCACTCTTTCCAAAAGCAGTGAGGTGTTCACCACATTCAAACAGGAGATGGAAAAGGTAACAGTGGTCCAGGCTGAATATGGCTACAGGAGCACAAGGTGCTTCCTTCAGAACTGAACACCGGGCCTCCCTTCAGGATGTCCCCATCCCTGTGATGCTTCATGGGGAGCTGTTGCCAGTAACAGTGTGATTGATGCCAAGGGTTGGGCCATGGGGAGGGATCACAGCCTTCTCCCAGTTTCAAGGAAGTGTCAGTGGTCAGTACACCCTCCAGGTTGTCCTAGAGGAGGGGCAGTCTTCGCATTTCTGTTCATCTTTGTAGCGGGAATTAAACTGGAGGCATCCTGAGGTGGCACAAAAGGCACTAACTGCGCCCTGTAATATCTTGCCCCTCCTTGGGGCCTTTCTCACCCTTGGAGACACAGACATGCAGACATCCTGGCCCCTGACCATTTCCTTCTGTCTGCTACGTAACTCAGATGACTAAGAAGATCAAGAAACTGGAGAAGGAAACCACCATGTACCGGTCCCGATGGGAGAGCAGCAACAAGGCCTTGCTTGAGATGGCTGAGGAGGTGGGCTGAGTTGTGGTATGCAGCCAGTGGGGTGGGGAGAGTTACTGGGTATTGGACCCTTTCCTGTGTGTGCTACCAGTAAAAGATGCAGCTAGCATGCCCAAGCTGGGCATCACATGCACGACTATCCAAGCCCAAAGATAGCGCCAGGTACCTCCCTGTGTGGTGAGCCTGGTGACAGGTCTGCAGTGGAAGCAAAGAGAACAAATGGAAGGAAGGAATATAAGAGCAGAAAAACCAAGGGGTGCCAGTGATGAACGTGGTTTTATATGCAGAGCAGCCCAGATAATTTGATTTGGGGTCTTAAGAGGTAGAAGAAGGTGACTGACTACTAGAGCTGCTACTGCTGGACATTCAGATACCCCAACTCATTGAACCTCCTGAGACACTTGAGGTTGGTCATAGTCCAGTGTAACAGATAAGGAGACAGGCCCAAAGGCCAAGACTTTGCCAAGGTTGTTTGATGGATAAGTGGAGGAATACACAGTCTATGAACCATGTCCTTTCTCTGTACCACTTTGCCCCCAACTGGCATTCAAGTTTTGGCCTAAACTATAGAGCTGTTCACTAGAAAGGGACCAGCTTTTGACTGGTCTGCTTTCAGCATTGTTAAAGTGTGAATGTTTTCTACCAAGTGGTGATGTTGGGTGGAGAGTTGATGGCATAGCACTAAAGGCCCCACTTCTCTCCCTAGAAAACACTCCGGGACAAAGAGCTGGAGGGCCTACAGGTGAAAATCCAGCGGCTGGAGAAGTTGTGCCGGGCGCTGCAGACAGAACGCAATGACCTGAACAAGAGGGTACAGGACCTGAGTGCTGGTGGCCAGAACCACCTCACTAACAGTGGCCCTGAGCGAAGGCCAGAGGCTGCCACTGCCTCCAGGGAGCAGGGTAGTGAGGGGCCCGGGGCCCAAGTACCTAGCTCCCCAAGGGCCATGGAAGCTCCTTGCTGCCCTGGAGCACTGAGTACAGAAACATCGGGCCAAATAGGGCCCCAGGAGCCCACCTCCACCACTGCCTAGGGAGCCCGGCACCGGGGGTGTGCTGGGAAGGGAGCAGGCAGCCCTGGCCCATGCAAGACTCCCACCACTAAGTAGCCAGAGCCCGAGGCCAGGGTGCTGTGATCTGGCTGGCATCTGACATTTTGCAGTTTTGAATTTTGTGGGTCAGTTTTACATACATAACAGCATATGTGCAAGGCCTCATACATTTATATCTGTAAGTGTAAAACGGACTTGCGTTGAAGGTGTACAGATGAAATGAGTGGCTCTTCTGTGAGCCAAAGAGTCTTACAGAGAATCTGTCATCTATAGCTGCCTTCACAGTGAGCTGGCAGGACAAGTGACCTGAGCATTTCCCTGCCTCATTTGTGGCTCACCCCTTCCCCTCCTGCCATTCAGGACTCCTGACAAGAGACATACCCAGGCCTTGACTGAATTTTCTCTTGTTGGGGCTCCTAGCTCCCCTGGAAGCTCCTTTGCTTTTCTCCTGGAAAAGGGACCTCCAGGCAGGGCCCTCAGACTTGGTAACGGAACTGCTTTCCTGCCTAGGACGAGGACCTGGAGTGTGTGTGTGTGAGATGAAGCACTAGGGGGGAGCCCCTCGGGTGCCACATCCCCTGCCCTCCAGTAGTGCCAGGACCAGGCCAATGATGCTTCTCAGTAGCCTTATCATTCACAGGTGCCTCTCTAGCCTGCACAAAAGATGACAAGAGATCACCCAAAGGATTCTTCTGAAGGTTTTTCTGTTCCTGTTTTTGTTTTCGCACATGACAGTGTTTGCTTCGAGATTTTGAAAGGGTGTGGGGTGCTATGGCAGTGGCACCCCAGTTCCCGGCTCCTATGCCCCACCCCCTCTTCAGCCCACCTGGCGCCTTTGCCATGTTGGTGCTAAGGTATCCTGTTAGATGAAACAGATTGTAGGAGGAAAGGCTTCTCACACTGTTCAGCGTGCCTGTGGGTTTCAGTCCTGGGCAGCTGGTGCTGATTGCCCTTGTCACTGTCTCCAAGCAGCGGCTGTGGGCCGCCTGTCCAACTTTCCCTGTGGCTTTGGGTCTGCTGCTTCCTGACTTCCCCTGCAGTGTGCAGCCTTTGAGGTCTGCCCTGGTGCCATTGCCTAAGGAATAAGCTGAGGTATGTGGGAGTCCCCAGTTCTTCCCTGACAATTGAGGGATGAAAGACTCAACAATTTTCTGAGCCCCAGAAACCCACAAAATGGCTGCAGTTATTTGTGTCTGTGTCCCCTTCCCAAATACCTGCTGTCCTGTACTCTAAAAGTTCTGCTGGGTGCAGACTTGCTGGGATTTTCACCAGTCTATACAGAGCAGTTTTCTGGAACAAATTAGAATAAGCCTCAGACCAGGAAGAAGGGCTGTGCTGGGCTTGAGGTACTGCATGCCATCTCCAGCTAGACCTCAGCCTCCCTGTAGCTTAGGGAACCACAGACTGAGGAGCAGGATGGTCTGGCTTCTGCTCTTGCTGTGTATCTGAAACTCGTTCATTATCCTGTAGGTCCCTTCATCTTCTATGTCTAGCCTGCTCTCAACCCTTAACTGAAATCCCTCAGATTCATGAAGAGTGTTCAGTACTCCAGAATTATGTTAGGACTTAGACCAGAGATGGCAAGGGAGTGACACACCATCTCTCCTCTGCCCCTGTGGCAAGTACCATTAACCTCCTTTTAGAGTATTCCCACTAATCCCTGGGATATCCTCATTTCACAAGACTCACCAGCCAAATGTAAGTGCTGAGGCCTGTTTGCCATCTCTGGCTAAGATACTGCTCTTCTGTGGGGAAGTGTTTACCAAGACCTTTTCTTCCCTTCTGAAATGCCTGTGTCTGAATGGTCCCCAGACTTGCCTTTTTCTGCTCCAGTAAGGCTTTCTGCTTTCCCCCGCCCCGTACCAGGCTGAGGTTCTCGAGCTGCCAACCCCATATAGGATTTGCTGGGCTGTGGAAGTACAGGGAAGAGGCAGAAACTTCTGATTGCCTGCCTCACTTCAGCTACCTGCGCTGGGGTGTTGAAGCCCAGCGTGGTGGTGTGGAGATGGCACCTGTATGGCACAGCAGCCCTCTGAGACTAAGTCTAGCTACTGAGGAGAGGCAGTGAGCAGGGGGGCCCCACCTGGACTCCCTAGGTCAGAAAAATAAGTCGTCGGCAGGGTATAACCTTTACTCTCAGCTCCAGCCATCACTCTGTCTTCAGGCCCATACTCCCCTTCTCTCCATTGACCCAAGTTACGCCAGTCACTGCAGCTGCTCCACTTGCTCTGCTTCCAGTCAGCCCAGCTCCCTGCGTGCTGCCCACACCAGCCAGGGCCTGGGCCAGATGAGGAAGGTGGCCCATCTGTGACTGAAGGCCAGTGCCTTCCTTGCTGGCAGGCCCCACATATAGGACCTCAGTTTTAGGACCAAGAGCTGTGTTAGTTACTGAGACTGCTAGCTTTTCCTCCTGGGAACCATAGTGGCTGAGGCTCACAGCCCAGAGCCCTCAGCTCCTCTGACTGTAATTCATGTCAGGACCATCTCTGGCTGAGAGCTTCAAGTATACCAGATTCTGAGGCAGCAGCACTTTCAATTGTTCTTTGTTTTACATGAGGTTTTTGGACCATGGGCTGAACTCAGGCACTTTCTATAAAGGAATGTTATGTCCGTAAAAGTGGTTATTTCTCCTCTAGCCCATCATACTGGCCCTGCTGAGGGCTGACCAAGAGGCCACTAGAGCTGCCCTGGTATCTGGAGGGTATCTGCCTGCTGAGCTGATTCTCCAGCTGCCTCCCCAGCCCCCCACCTTACACCACGCAGAGGGTCTGACCCCAGGGACAGCCAGGCACCTGCCTGGGGGAGGGGTGCTGCCTTCTGTCCCTGTAACTGCTTCCCATAACGGCCCGACCTGGCTACCAGATTTGTTTGAAGCTGTGCTGACAGCCTTTTTGTCTCCTTTTAGTGTTCACAGCAGCCAGGGACTTAATTTTGCTGTATTTTAAACCACATTAAATAAAGAGTTTGTTGCCTTAATTGTTTCTCTCCTGAGCTTCGTGGCCATCTGCTGCTTTTGGATCCGTCCAGTCATCCCTGATTTGTCTGGATCCGCAGCAGAGTCTGGTTGTGCCCTGGTGTCCTGCATGCGTCCTCCAGAGTCTCAGGCTGCCCTCTGCCTTCCAGCGGGCACCACAAACTCAGGGCACTAGTAGATTTTTTTTTCTTTTTTATATGTAAATAATGTTTATTTGTTAGGGGCAAAAGTACATTTTCACACCATTAGACTGATATAAAATACCTGATTCTTAATTTTGAATTTACCCATTTTTTCTATACTTTTTTTTAAAATTTTTATTAAGGTACTATTGATATACACTCTTATGAAGGTTTCACATGAAAAAACAATGGATGTATTATTAAGTCCCCACCCATACCCCAATGCAGTCACTGTCCATCAGTGCAGCAAGATGCCAGAGATCTA